TTTAACGTAGTCCACGAACAAAGAGCGAAGCTCTTGATCAGCTATTATCTGTTCCACATAAAATATTTTATTTTGTGCTATAAAATCGACCTAATAATTTAAAATTATATTAGAATTAACCCGACAATTTTTTACAGACCAACGTTGGCCATATACAGATAATTACGTCTTTAAATAATGGATTTCCTGCTCTTCTTAAGTATATTTTAATTAAAGGCAATGTATAAGAATCTACGAGGTAGCAACTCGTCACAAAGCTTATATAGAAGAGGGAGGCAGATGTCTATTATATATTGGTTATTTATTATTGAAAGTGCTTGATGTGTATTCTAGTAAATGTTACGTGAAACCGAAATTGGTATACCAGCGGATGCGCAATAACATGAATTGTCGTGGGGATTAGTAGCACCCCAAAAAGAAGGAAAATGCGAATATTGTAATAATAATCCACAAACATAAACCAGCACTTTCTCGTCAATATTAAGTAACAAAAATTTTCTATGTAAAATTACAACAACTAGGTTATAGTATATAACTAGTTCAGCTTACCTACTAAAAAAAAAATTCCTGCAATTAAAATCACCCCGTAGGTAATAGCAAATGAAGTAAATATATGATTAAGCCACTTCACATAAAGACTGGCCATGCATAAAAAACCAGCAGCTACAATCTTAGACGTAAGAAAATATATTTTTTTTAAAAAAATTTGAGTATTATGACAAATAGTATAATACGTGACTTACTATGATAGAATGGTAACACCAAGGGAAAAAATAAGAGTAGCTTCTTTCTGGACGGTTAAACAAAACATGCATCAATCTTTGGCGGCAATTTATAGCGGAGAGCCCGGAGAGGAAAAATACGAAAACGAGGGTTGCCAAAATTGGGGACATAATAAGTGGCTTAAAAGGCACTCCGGTGGCCACTAGATATACATATATATATGATGTTTGTTAACGGTAGTGGTTAAACTTTTTGCATCTAATTTTCATCTAATATATATCATTTTATAATATATTAATAGTCATTAATAAAAGCTCACCAAATAAAAAGGCTGTCAGGGAAGAGAAAACTACGGATAAAAAAAGATGTATTAAAAAAGTTGGGTGTCTAGAGCGTATTTCTATTTCTTTTTTATTCAAAAACACCAAAACGGTGAAAAGAAGGACAACTATCAAGTTTAAAGTGGTCATTGGAAGCTGAGAGTATTTAAAAATGTTTATCGATTCTTTTTTTTAAGCGTGAAACGATCATTTAAATAAAAATCCAAACCGTGAATTTGTAAGTGGCTTTTTGATGGTCACCTAATATTTTATCCATAGCATCCTTTAACGTTTCAGCTGCTTGAGTATACTGTTCAAATTTGCAATGTTTTGCTAAAAAAAAAAATTACTCAGGACTAAACGAGCCAAGATAATGAAACTTACGCAAAAAATCCCCGTAAAAATTTTTAGCATCTTCTAACTCAGCTGAAGTAGCTACAGGGTTTTCGTCCAATTCCTTCAAAAAATTTACTTCGTAGGTGGTTAAAAATCTAGAAATAAATAACTTTGCCATTCATATAAGTTATTATTTTGGATACACTACTTTTGCATTTTTTCTTGACTACTTAGAAGTGAGAGTGTGTAATGATTCAACCAGTTTACACTTGGGTCTGCTTTTGTCCAATAGCGGTCAGTAAAATATTTCCGTATGGTCTTAACCTATCAGGAAGTATATTAGTAAGTATATATTATATACTTTACATTAATTACATCCAGGGGGGCATTGATGGTTAAATTTTTATGAATTTCAAGGATTCTATCTTCCAGATCTATTTAAAAATATATTATTAACTTGCTAACAGTGATCGTACAACTATATTATATGAAGGCCTCTGTAATAATTAATATATTAGTAATACCTTTCTTAGTTTTAGCTTTATCGAAATATAAGAGTGGAGAGACACCAAAATATGAAACGAGTGAGGCCGAGAAAAGTCTCACATTCGAAATCGAAGAAAATAGCTGTTCTTTTTATGGTAAGGTAGTTGTAATTATTAAAAGTATATCAATGTAATTGCGTTTAGTTGTTTAAAAAATGATACCTGATCCCATCTGAAACTGATCATTAACAACTGAATTTACATTTCCACATTTGCTAACTAACTTAGGTGTAATCTATTAAATTATAAAATTTTGAGAGAAAAAATTAATGTAACAATGATGACATTAATAATATCCACTACAATATTTTAACGAGGTTGGCGAGTATATAATATATAAAATCTTGTATGAAACCTCCGTTGCTATGGTTTCGAACGGGGTATAAGTCGTTTGTACGGCAGCAGCAAGAAGGAAAAGGGGTAGGTAAATCACTGGAATATATTTAAATTAAATTTTAAAATTTTAAAATAGGGCTTACTAGCAAAATTACGGAGGAATATAAAATAAATAATCGCCGCAGAAAACCATCCAAGCTTGTCACGGTCTTTTAAAAGCTTATCTATAAATTGCATCTTTAACTCCTCCAGACAAAATTTATTACTGAAAACTAAATATATATTAAATATTTGTTAACAAGGTAAAAACGCAAATAAATTTTTCTATAACAAATTATCTTCCATTCCTAACCGAGGTGTAGGTAAAGTGTATCCCGTTTTTGAATATTATCCTCTCGAACCTGATGGCCATTAACTTTTTATAGTGATTGCTCTCTTTGAGCTACTTGAATATAAACTATTTATTGCAGGTTTTTAATTGGTTTTCCTAAAATGGTTATTAAGAAAGTTAACCGAATGGGACACTTACAATACACGCTCCTCCAATCAGATCCAAGAGACACATGATTCCAAAATGAGTGAAAGGACAGTTAAAGTTAAAAAATAATGCTTTTTTTTAAAATTTTTGTGTATCATTAATACTATTGTTAGTTTATTCGTAAAATATAAATTAATATTGTTAAAAATTTTTATAAAGAATAGCTTTTTAAAGTTTAAAAAATTATTTTACGCGTTAAAAGGAATTTTACGAATGGACGTGCGTGTAAAGCGTGTTTACATTTCTCTTAATTCTAATCTGTTGTGTGTCGAGCGCGTACACTTATAACTGATTAACTGCACTCAACTGTGGAGCGTCCACTTTAGAAGTTGTGGTCAATTTCGACAGTGTGTTTATAGTTAATATAATGAACACAATTCTCAATTAAAATACAATAAAGTTACGTGAAAGAAAAACTCTAAAATCTATATAAGTATTATGATGACCCTTAAACATGATTTTTTAAATAGCTTCATTGTTTATCTTACACCAGCTAAAGCATGGCACTTTATTGCAGGCCCTGCGAACAGCAAGTTTTAGTAGCCAGCGTTTAGAAGAAATACTGTCCTGAAACTTTAACGTAATGAGGAACTTGTTGTAGTTACACTAATTTTGCTGCATTGCTAGAGTTTCATTACCTGGTTTCCATAATTATAGTCGTGCTTTATTACGCTAAAACTTCCTGATTTCTAACAAACTTTATTTGTGTCCATTTAGTAAGGTCAAACCTCTTGTTAGTTATTAGCTATTTCTTATCTATATATTTAACGAATAAAAAAGCTTTTATAATTTAGGCAATATTGTAATTATCAGTAAATGTTTAACAGCTTCCTCAGCCAAATACAACTTAAACAGTCCTCGCTGTCAAATTTTCTTTATTTTAAACAATTCCTATGTCAATAGACCGCTTTTATGTTTACTACAGAGCTTAACATTTTATTATTTAAAAGAAAGATTATATAAATTTCAGGTATATGTAACCTTATATAACTTTATATCAAGTCTGTTTATTAAAGTTTTACTAAACTTTTTAAGGCTAATTTGTTTTTTTTACACCTAAATTTTTTTATTATTTTTATATGCTTACATAACTTAAGTAAAAAACGTTTTTATTATGAAGTTGGAGCTTCTTAAAGTACTAGAATATAACTGTAGGCGCCTTTAACAAAAGCGTAATGTCCGTCCTAGACGGGCATCCGCAACCCTTTAAGATATGAATCTAATGTAAATTAAAAGTAAGAATAAAATTAATGTTAAAAAAAAAATTAGATAAAAACAAGATTACAAAAATAAAAGTAGACTATAAAACAGAGTACGAAAACAAGAGGCGGATTGAAAAAGCCTTTTTTCATTGGCGACTTGTTTATATTTTAATGGCAACGCCCTCGGCTTTTGTAAAATTTTAGACTGCTATATTTGGTAATGCCTACCTAAAAAGGTTTGGGCTATGAATAGCGAAAGTCGACGTGCTGGGGGAGAGTAAATTATAATTTCTATCCCTTGTGTGATTGAGGCTATTATATAATACAATGTATTGCTTATTTCTTCTGCGTTAGGTGTAGTTTGATCTACTTTTATATTTTTATTTTTAGCCCATCCTTCTTCACTCTGAAATCATCGCTATTATTTGGCTTAAATGAGTATTAAGGCACCAAGGCTTCTTATATTGCTTAAGTCAAAGACAAATTACGCAGTGTTTTTGAAAAATAAAATGCTTTAACGGATAGTTTGCATTAAGCAAGTCCGTTTATAGAACATGCGATATTGATCAAATTCCATTTTCTTATAGTCCCTCTTAACAATGAGCCCACTCCGGCCAAGTTATCTCTAATTAACAATTAATGCTATCTCACGTCTGGTGTTTAGCTGACATCTCCCTAGTAGCAGGGAACAGCATAACCAAATAAAACATCTAATCTATTGCTGTTTGATTATTATATAAAAGTTTTATACATAACAATGAAGCCCTCTGTAGCGTAGATAATTGGAAGTAAGCCTCTATTTTACTAAAACACAGCTCATTAACTCTTCTCTAATTTTTACCCATTGTCTCTTGACTACAGCTCTTTGAGTTTGTTTAATACGAAAGATTTCTTAAGGCTTTAGTATGCCTTCTGTCGATCAAGCTATATCAATTACTCCCGTCGCGTTAATAATCAATGCAACTTTTGATAAAATAACTATATATTTAATTATTTTTAACTCACTAAAAAACACATTTTAACTCATTTCTTAAGGAGTTTATTTTACCGCTTAGCTTCAGCCTTTAGATAATTGTAAGATTTTTCCTAAACATTTATAATCTTCTTACTTAAATTTCCCCCAAGTGTTAACTGTCGCTAATTAATTTGGTGATATTTCTAGAATAGCTAGTGTTATGAATTTTGGACTATTGGAAATTCCTACGGTGATTAAAAAGTGCCCATCGTTTAGGCAGAGCAAAGTAATTAAGTAGAAGGGAATATAGGGCTATAAGGGAACCTAGAATAATACAGAAGCAGGTTACATGCACGAATAGTGTACTTTTATTAAATAGATAGTTCAGCTTAAGTCGGTGGTTTTGTTTGCTTTCTCTTTCATACTTATTTAAACGCATATAATATATTAGTAGGTCTTTGTATAGTAAGGTAGGTATTTTTAGCAACTATTATAAACTGGAAAGCTTGCTATAATAGGTGTATATATGGACCACAATGTCCCTGCTGGTCCCTGAAAGCTCGTGCGTACGGGAACCTTTTTTTAATGGATTAGAAGACTTTGTCACTCTAACAATGATCTACTGTGACTACGTGTTTAATATTTATTTTATCAAAGGAAACTTTTAACATATTAGTTAGCAAAGACGGAGTTCTAGCCGACAGTATCAGACATGTTATAGAACTCAATACCTTCCTTAGCTTAACTTAAGTAACTCTGCAGTGTGCTCCACCCCCCTCAAGAAAACTTATTAGCAATGGTTGCGTACGTCACTAATATTGTATATTAGTTTAGTGTTTCAAACATATACGTTTCATTATTCATTTATTTAACCATAACAATTTTTTTAACTATTTAATAGGGATATCGCTTATAATAACTGCAGCTGTCTTTATACTTGTTGCATACGCACAAAAATAAGTTAAAAGCTGCTTTTTTATTTATGAAATTAATATTTTCCAAAACTTGGCTCTAGCTTTAGAATTTAAGTAAAACTTACTGTTTGTAACAATTGCTATTATTCATTTTAGAATTCCGTTAATACCACTTAGCTATAGTTACACGTAAGGGCCGCGGTACCCTTTGTAAAAACTTTTTTAACAATGTTTTTCATATAAGCTTCAGGTTTGAGAAAGAATTATTTATATAGCATCAATTTTATATTATATATTCAAAAATAATCACCGAGATAAAATGGCTACTATTGCAAATGCTTTAACTAACGAAAAAGTATTAAACGTAAATTTCACAATCCAACTAACCAATGCCTATTAAGTCGCCTTTTCGATACCTTTTTTTAATACGGTACCAGGAGTTTAAGCAATTACATCCGTTAATAAACCTCATTTAAGGTTACCAAAAAGGTTCCTAAGTGGCCAAGGCTCCCGCGGTATGCGCGGTTTCCTCTACTTCCCCTAGATGTAGTTAAATACTACTATTGACTAGCGACTTTTGATTACAAAAGAGATGCTTCACATTTAGTCTAGTGTGACCAAAGTTCCCTAATTATTATTCCTTGTATTTCGCCAAGTAATATTGAGCTTTGACTCAATTATTTTTATTCCCTCTTCTGGAAAAAGCTACAAACCTTAATCAAGTTCTTCCCCTCTCATCTTTCCAATAATAATCAATCTATATATTACCTTGGAATATTACCTTGGAAGCTTACTACCCAAAACTTCGAGGCAAAGGCTAGAATCCAAAAGTCTTCTTGTATTAGACAGATTTATAATGGTGGTTTTTACTAACAAGGACAAAAGCCCTTCTCAGTTGCCTGGAGGTTTACTTAATTCACTTAGCACTTGAAACAATGAACCATTATAACTCTCTAGTCTTCCTAAAATAAGAGGTTGTGCTGAATCGACATGGAGATCGCAGCTCTTCCTTTCAATAAGTTCCTAAGAGGAAACTAACGCTATTATCCCTGTCATAACTTTTACATGTTGCTTTGTAGCCTTTTATTCGAGCTTAAAGGTCACTAAATTGTATTATAAGCTTAAAATATTTTTTAATTTAAAACTAGCATACTTTTACGTGATTATGATATTTACGTAATATCTAAAGACTAGCCTTCGTTTCCCTGTGTTATTTAATTACAGGGTAGCTCCTCACTAAATTCTTGAGTAGGCTGTCTCATCTCTGCTCAGAATCATCCAATCTTGCTTATATTTTCACTAGATTGCCATTTACTCTAAAAATAAGCTGAAAGTTTTCCTCCTTTGTCAATTATTACATATTTCCACATAATTATTCTTTTGATAAACAAAGTGTTGAGACAAAGTCATATATCGTACTAGTCATGCTCGACATTAATTAAAAGCCAAGGTATTTTGTTACTTTCATACAATCATAGTTATTGCAGGCGATAAATATATTCTATTTTGAAAAGGTTTCCTAATAATAAGAAAAGTAGAACTATTTATACTTAATGTTCCGCATATAGCTAATTATTTGCAAAAAAATGTGAATGAGACCTATTTAGTATTCCTATGGCTTGGTATTTTCACTATTTCGTGGAGTCCCTTAAACACTTGTAAACAAAATACCTAGCCTGTTGTAGCCTAATCACTTGGTCCAGGTTTAGTAAAGTTACAATAATTTTTTCCAGAGTGTCTTTCAGTAAACAGAATTATCTGCCTCGATTGAATACCTTGGCCACTGCTTAATTGTTCACAA